TATCGTAAATAAATTAAACTTCATAGAGCAGAGGAAAAGGGGAAATGAAAATGAACGTCAATTAACTAGGATCGTCAAACAAAGTATTCCTTTCATTCGTATTCCTTTCTATTTCCAAGTACATCTACTTTCAGTGCATAGGAATGGCAGAACGCCCTTTAATAACCAATACCTTTGACCAAAATTTCAAGTTAAATAAATTAGCGTTGAATGTCCCGATGAGATTTCCAAGGAGGAATAAAAGCTTGCACAGTGCACGACTGCCTTTCACAACTGCAGTACCACTCACTGGCTTCTAGATGTACTTACTTACTCTACGTGCTTCGTTCACGGAAACAAATCATACAGAAAGGAGAAAGTTGCCATATTTTGATGATTCATTATGAAAATTACTATCAGTAAAGTAATAATTATTTCCTAGGTACCATTTAAAGGAAAAATGCATGCAATTTAAATGGCTTTTCTAATGACCAAATAACGCGTTCCGACTCGACAAAAAGCTTCTGAAATAATGTAGTGTCGGAGAGCGCGGGTTGCTAGAGAGACCGTAAATGTTTAAAGCTCAGCCTGACCAGGAACCACAAAATCGATCCGAACCAAATTATATTTGTAGCTTATAAAGATGAGTTCAAGTAGCTACCAACACGACTCTACAAACAGAATGACTAAGCGAAGAGACGACCTAAATAGTAACTTATATATACAAAATTAAATTAAATATTAGCAAAAACCGCTCAAATAGCGATATTTACATTTTACGCGACTTTCCGCACACCTCTTTCCTACGCCGCTATTGCACAAACAAAGTGATAAATTGGACATTGGAGAAAATAATATAAACGGGGAAAATGTTTAACCTGTTGAGGTACAATAAATAGCCCTCAATATATTACATTATTACTACAACTATATGATTATACCGATTGGAAGCCATTTGCATACAACGAAACCTAGTATCAATACGAATAAAAACAACACATGCTTACACACTATGTTGACACACTGGCCACTTATGTGAAAGGAAAAGAGACATATTGTAGTTTAGTTTCGAGAAAATCGAACCTAGAAAGAGACTCCTCGAGTATGAATTCGCGGAATCCAAAACTATCAGAAACAATTTCAGAATTCTTGCGAGGTATGTGGCTTCGACGTCCTTGCACGACAAAAATACAGCCAAATTGCCAAGCTGGTCCAGCCGCGTGTGTTGGAGCTATTTCCAGCGCTGCTGAGAGGAAACCTGTTGGCAGCGCCGTTAAGTGACACTGATTTAATATTCTGCAGCGCGCCGGCCCAATATGAGGGCGAAGCGCGACGCCCCTGCTCTGCGGAAATGGGCCAGAACCCAATCACGCGCCGCGCCGCCTCGCCCCTGTGCTCTGCAGGGCGGCGCCGGGCGGCACAGTCCGGGAGACGAGCGCCGTGCCTCGGCCACATTGGAGAAGCGTCGTAAACAGGACACGCCCGAAGCTCTTGCGAAGGAAAGGCCGAAAGGGACGGAAGCAGCGCATAATAATTTCATTCCATCCAAAGCGAAAGAATGTTTTCGTTGAATTCGAAAGAATGTATCGAAAAGACATATCACATTACAGTATGAAGCCTTGGGTATTATGCAGTTTTACTAGTTGAACCCTAGAAAATAATATGAATTTCGTGAATCGGTTTCAAAAGTACAAACAGATGTATACTTGAACGTTGAACGGACCCAGTCTTTGAATTCAATAGTGCGGTACAGCATTATAGGCCAACGTCCGTGCGTGGGTATACATTATTTTGCTAAAGTTGAGATTGAATTGAGAACACGGAACAATTTAATTTTTCATAGATTTCGATTTTCATAGATTTTTCTAACCAATCATGGTAAGGAATCTGAGTACCCACAAGCGGTAAGTTTAATAGGTTCCAAACGGTCTCATTTTTCTACAATAAGGCTTAAGAAACCTAACTTTAACTCCACCTGCCGCTCCCACCATTAATTTATTTATTATCAATTCAACAATTTGCCACGTTAATCCTGTAACCTTGGAGCCGCAACAGGGTAACATCTTTCGAGTATTTGACATCTCACAAGAGGATCGAAGCCAGCATATACCCCACTAAAGCGTGTCCGAGCATACACCAAGGTGAAACTGCGTACCATTCAACTGGAAACAAAACAGCTCGCCGGGAGATTTTTTCCATTCAAGACACGCACCTCCCGTCTCCGGTGCTTGTGTTGAGAGTGCGCTCGGAGCCTCGGCGGTAAAGCATGCGGGATCGCCCCGTCCTCAGAAGTTGCACGGCCTACTGCACGAGAGTGCATCATCTCCACCACACAGTCGACCGCGCGCCGTCGCAGCAGGAGGGGCAGCGGGCGAGACGCGCGACAAACACGCCCCGCTTTTCTCGTCACACCCCGCGCTCCCACGCGCGGCAATTTCACGACTGCAGACTGCGAAATGAACGAGTTCTTTTGTTCACTGGTACCTCGAGGCGCGCAGTACTCATCAGTTACATTTACGATTACACACTCTCCTGTTGACATTAGGCCTATTAGTGAATACGAGTTACGCAGTAGTTTATGTGACGAGAAAAGGTGTCCTCCGAATGGTAGAGCATTTCAAATTTATGAAAGACGTTTCATATTTATCACATTCTGGAAACACCTTATTATCGTTCAGAGCAAATAGGTTTTCCCCACGACTGACACTTTAAGAAAATGCATTGCACAGCATTCCCTTAACATGTTACTTCATGTTTAAAATGCTGGAGTCAGAAACGTGGAAAAATCGTGTTCTTACCGGTTGTTGTTACATTTTTCGTCAGCATGCCTGGATCCTACATGGATCGGAACCTGGCTCATGACGTACTGATTTGTAGATTAACGGGCTTGTTGAGAAACTAAAACTAAGAAATAATTGAAATCCCCGAGCCAACTCTCTCGCATTCTGTTGGCGCGGCAGCGTCGGCCCCTGTGCAGGACGCAGCTCCGTCTCCGCTGGAGGAAAAACGCCGCGAGGGCGAGGCCAGAGGACTCGAGTGGGTGCCGCGCTGTCCCGTCCCGTTGGACGCCGACCGACCCTGGCCCCGACACACTTCCCGCTGTTTCCGCCTTCCTTTCTGGGGCATCCCCACCCTGTCCCCTCTGCCCTGCCCTGCCCCGCCCCCTTTGGCGGGCTGCCCTCCGCATTCATGCCTTGCCATTATCATTCACAGCAAAGCTCGCTATTATTCCTTTATTAATAATATTTCAGTAACGTCTGTGCTCTGGTTTCCCAATCGCCCATTTACAGCCAACCTCATGCGTCGCAAAACTTTACTCGTCTGTTCTTCGCCATTTCCTCTACGCCAAAAAGCGCCATTATCGACATTCGCATATTTTATCCTCATTGCTGTGCCGTGTGTGGCAGTGACTTTGATTTCCTACTTTCTCGCTTGGATGTTTCCGATGCCTTTGAGCGATCATCCGACGCACGACCTACGGGCAGGGTGAACCTACGCCTTTTCCGCCTTCTTTCTGTCCTAGTAACATTCTTCGTGAAGTCTTCTTCCCATCGCGAGCGAAGTCGCGGCGATGCATTCCGCCGGCGTGCAGGTTCGCGTCAAGAGCGCGTCGTTGACCAAAAGGAGCAAGAGCGCCTTTGGCTCAGCGGGCATTCCGCGGCCGCAAGCGAGTTCCGCCGGTGGTTTTCCACGGGGCGCAGGCGTCCGCGCCGCCGGGCTCTCCCGCCGCCGCCACCACCGCCACCGCCGCCGGCCACACGGCGCGACGGCATTCCTTTCTCGCTCGCTTTCCGCTGCAGCCCTCGGGCGAGTGGAAACGCTTCCGCAGCCAACGAGTGCGCGCGCGAGCATGCACGCAGGCCTGCCAAACGCCGCTTATCGAATTCCCGTAAGCTGCACTCCCCACTCCGCGACGTAATATAACCTGTGTTCACGTAATTGCTCTTTTGGAGCGCTTCAACTGTTTGCGTTCCCACTTCTGACAGTACACGAGTAATTCTCGAAGATAGTGAATTTCCATATTGTTGCAAAATTAGTAAAGTCAAAATCAATTGCATTTATTCATAAGTACTTTAGTACTTTTGTTCAATGACGAGAAAATATACACGAGTTTATGTCGCACGAATAATATTCATTGGCGTTTAAGCAACAATAAGGAAAACTTACTCCGTCTACAACACACAAGAATCTCCTGCACTAGAATCTATATTTCAGATATCGAAATCGCAATATAAAATGTCTGTTATTAATTAGGCAAAATACTATTACCGACACTATACGAAAATATCGCTTGATCTCGGCCAAAATATTGACACAATTTACTTCTGAACCATAAAAATAACTATAAATAGTAAGTAATGTAAGATGCGGTGATTATTCATTTAAAATCCCAACAGTTTCTAGGTAATAAAATTTTCAATAGGTAGTAATTTCATGAGCTTATGGATCAAATTAACATTTACAATTCGTGACAAGTGTAAATAGAATTAACGAAAAATGTCAAATCCGAATCTAACCTTAGCGTTTGTTATATGACTGAGGGACACGCAGCCGAAGGTGAAACGCAGACCAAGTCATCTTCACGTAATAGTTGCGCAATTCACAAAGCATCTTCCACAAAAGAATAATTAAAATGAGCAACCGCGTGAAACGATCAAAATCGCTCGAGTAAACACCCAGCAGCAACGAAGGGCGTCCGTTTGCACGGGGTAAGTTGGCAGGCGTGCGCCGTCGGTGCGTCCGTCCGGTTCGAACGCGAGCGAAATGGAAATCGCGCGGCGCGAGGCGGCCGTGGCCGGGGCGGGGGCGTGTGCGGAGAGCGGGAGCGGGAGCGGAGGCGAAAGCTCTCGCTCACAGAGCGGCCAGTGCTGCGCCGCTGCGTCTCCACGAGAGGAGGGAGGCGCCAATTGCGGGGGC